TTTCATGCACTGAAGCTTTTGAAGGGAAATTAATTTTACATAAGCAATTATTTATTTTTTTATATATTTTTGGTGTAGGTACATAAGTTGGCAGAGGACATCAGTTGCCTGGAGTAGTTGTTGTTGACTCCCAGTTTTCTGCAAAGTCAGTTCTTTGTCACAGTTTCTTTGCCCTGCACCCACTAGTTTGTTGATTTGGTTTTTTTTTCAGAGGGGAACGTGCTCTTATTTATGAGACTGATCCCAAGAGAATTCTGTCACTACAGAAGATGTATTTGTCAGTAAAAACTACGCTAGATTTGCTGAAATACTACTTGCTATGGAAAACGTGCTTCTGTCCCCTATCATTCTTCACTGCAGTGCCTGAAAATGATAAATGACGCTATCTATCTCGTGTAGAATACAACTTAACATTTTCAATAATGAGGTGGATGGTGGGGCAGAGTGCACCCTTAGCAATTTTGCAGATGATACAAAATTGGGAGGACTGATTGATACACCTGTTGAGGGAAATGCAGCATCCTGTACATGAAAAAGAATAACCTCATATACCAAAGCCAGGAAGCAGTGTTGCATAAAAAAGTGATGTAGGAGTCCTCAAGGGAAAGTTGAAGGTGAGTCAGCAATGTGCCCTTGATGCAAATAAGACCAACAGCATCTCTGAATGCAGTAAGAAATGTGTTCCCAGATCAAGGAAGTTATTACCCTATACTCTGCACTGGTGACATCACATCTGGGATAGGTGTTCAGCTCTGGACTCCCCAGCACAAGAATTATACGGACATGCTGGAGAAAGTCCAGTAAAGGGCCATTAAGATGATAAAGGGACTGAAGTACCTTTCCTATGAGGAGAGGCTGAGAGATCTTAAAAAAGAAGGTTCAGGGAGGATCTAATTGATGGGTATGAATGTCTGAATAAAGAAAACAAAGTCAACCTATTATCAGTTGTGTAAGAGGCATAAATTCAATTCCAGAAAATTCTGTTTAAATATAAACCCCCTCTTTTTTTACTGTAGGTCAAATACAGGAACAGAGTGCCCAACTATGTTGTGTAATTCTTGAATATATTTGGATATTCTCTCTTTGGAGATGTTCAAAACCTGATTGAACACCAAGCAATCTGCTCTAACTGACTATGGTTCAGGAGCAGGGGTTAGCCTAGACAGTCTTTTCTTCCAGCCTCAAGATATTCTGTGTGATTCCATAAATGGAATGTTAAAAGTTGAAGAGTCTTAAATATTCTCTTAATTTCTGAGATGTTCGTATGAACACTAATTTCTAAATTGCATCTTACACACCCAGGAAAGAAGATACATTTTTCTGTACCTAATAAGTAGACTCTGCACTACATTTCAACTTTCCTATTGGAGATTTCTGTTATGCTGTCTGCAGTGCACTGAAGTAAGGTACATTAAAACCAATAAAAATTGTTCCATTAAACTGTACAGGTTTATGGTCAAGGTCCTGCTCTCTTAGAACTCTTAATAAATTGGGAGAAGCAAATCCTAGTCCTAGTCTCATAGGAATAGTTGTACCACCTACTGAAACTACCAGAAACATATATTCCATTTATGGACCTTAAGTCAACTAGTAGACATTTCAAGTGCAATTTTATCAGTAAGACTGTCTTTTCTGTCTCCATTAGTCCTATAAAAGATGACATAGAGTGCTGCAAAGTTAAATCTTCACTCATCCTTGAACCTGAAGGCGTAAAAGCTGTCCTCAAATTTTTGTACCTATATGTATCCCAGTCCAGGCTACCTCAAGTGATAGGTCCCCTCCGGATACCAATGCTGTTTTCCTGCTTGCTTTCTCTTGAAAAAGCTAAACAGAAGAGACAACTAGATCTGCAAAGGTTCCTTCTGAAGTGTTTAAGCTTGTGTAAATTCTTTGCTTTAAAAGACACAACTTATTGTACAAATACCACTTAACAACCTTAAAAGCTAAGTGAATTCTAAGCAGGAAGAGGAAATATCCTGTGGGTCACCATTAACTCACCAAGAAGCTGGCTCTTCCTTCACTTCTCTGTTTCTCTTCTACATTTTTAACTCTTTAATCTTGTCAAAATGCCTGAGGAAAATAAAAACAGGTGAAAAAATTTTCCTACAGAGAACAGAGCCATGAAGAATTCATCTCACTGGTTCCTGAAGTCAGTGTGTAGAAAACCAGGATGAGTTTGAAGGAAAGATTCTGTGGAAATAGATATGAAAATCCTAGCTCAACCATTTTGATCCTTGCTATCCCCCATTTCACTGTCTCTTCAAAAACTCTATTTGGTAGACAGTTCACTGTTGAATTACTGCTCAGTTTCCAAGATGTATGTTGCCTTGAAGGGGCCAGATGGATAAAAGATGAATGAACAGGTTATTCTGGCATCATTTAGAAAAACTTTCAATATGATTCCTGCAGTTGACCCAGCTCATTCATGTGAAGACATTAATATAAACAGTTCCTACAGCCTTTTTTCAATCTTTAACCTTGCTTAACTCCAACCATAACCCTCCTTTTTCCATCTTACAATACATAATTTCTGTATTCCTGCAGATTTCTCTCAAGTGGGATGGCTTTCACTTACTTTACTGATTTCTCTCTCCTCGAATGGAAATTTGTAGTTATGTCAGTCACTTCAAGGGCTGCAGTTCAAGCAGTGGGGAAACTGTTCTACGAAAAGCACATAACCTATTCTGCAGGACACTCTCTGTGGGTGGGCAAAGCACAAGAAGTCTTGTTGTCTGTCATGAAAATGGTCTCTTAGCATTAAGTGCTTTTAGTCATGGAGGCACAGTGAGCAAGCCACTCACTGGAGATGAGTATTTGGCATGGGCTTCCAGAATCTGGCATGCTACCAGTAGGCACTGCCCAGTTGTCAGTTTTATTGCTAAAACATGCAAAGATTCTGATAATGGCTCCAACACCTGTGTCACAGATCACAGACTGTGTTTTACAAAATTTTATTCAAGTCATGGTTATCCTAGTCCACACTGTTTCAAGCCCCAAAGTCTGTTTATGAGATTAGTTCAAGCTCCATGACTGTGATCAACAGAAGCACAGTGGGGGTTATTCTAATCTAGACCTAATCTATCAGGGGACTAAAGCTCCTCAGCATCTACTGAATTCAGTGAAAGGTAAATCCTTCGCCTTTGGGATGCTTCTGGTGATTTTCACCCCACACAAGGAGAGTATTCCAGTCAAAGTCTGATTGATACACAATCTTACAGACACAGAATACTGGTAGTACTGCTATCAATTCCACTGAAAAAAGATTGAAACAGTTCTTGACATTTTTCCCTGTCCTCCAAAGGACAAGTATATTTTCTTATATAAGACCTCAGTAATTAATTCAGTGCAATTCAGTCTTCAGGATAGGAGTAATTTTAAGGTATCAAAGCCATATGAACTCTAGCCTGCATCTTAGTTGTAAGGGCTAGTCTATATTCTGTATATGTAAATTGTAGGTAACACTCATAGAAGTCAGATGAAAAAGTTATGAAAAGACTATGACACAAACAATTTGTGAGAGGGAGAAAACTTTCATTTGCACTTCTACAAGAGTAGGCCAGTTAACAATGGAATCAAACTCGAGGTTATTTATTATGCCTAGCTCTCTCTATTGCTGTATTAACAGCTAGTGCTCATGGGACTTGGAGATATCATTCTTATTGGACCGCACATTTCTGTACAGCTCTATATTGATTTCAGAGTTCTATAATTGTGTTTGTATGGTACTGTAACCCAATATGTCGGGCAGAACTTCTGTTATTTAAGGTCCATAGAAATTCCCTTGAAGTCAGAAGCAGGAAGATGGTACTTTAATCACTGTGAGCAATACACTAATACCTTTGGAATATAAATACTCTCCGGATCATATCCTGTGATTTCAGAGTTCTTCCGTCTCATTTGAGTTGTTCCCCCTGTTTGGGCTTTCACTCGATGTTATTCTAGCCTTTTAAAAACTTACTGTGATAATTATTAAATATTTTATTGTGCAGCATTCTGCAGCTTCAGGGCATACTGCAGGGCACTGCTGTGATGTTTTATTGCAGTTGCCAGTGAATGTGGTAATATCTGGGGTGTGCTTTTCTCTGGAGTGTTCACTTTACATTCTGTTACCCTACTTAATTTCCCCATTTCTGAATGCTAAAATGGATGTCTGTAACTGTAAACAAAACAAAATTTGGATCACAGTTATGAATGATTCTGGATGCTCTCTGAGTAGGATGGTGTCTTGCTGGAGCAGAAACTCACAAGGGCTTCCTGTACAGTTGGATATAAGTGGTCAACTCTTATCTTGGCTTGCCCATTCTCTTGGCAGGACATGAAGCAAAATGTGTTCCCAAAGCCACTTATACACGTTGACATAGGACTGAGCCTGATCAAAGAAACACGTAATCTCAAGACTGGAAAAGCCTTCTGATCCAAAGGCAGTTCATGGCAAGAGAGGACCTAGCTCACAATCAAATAATCAAGAAAAGGTTGTCTTGCTACTAAATCTTTATTTTAGAGCAACTTCTTTTGCATGACTGTGTTTCCATTTCTCCCAATAAAATGCATCTGCATGGTAAAGTGTGCCCAGGATTTTTTGGTGAAAATTACCACTTAGGACCATAGCTTGTTATTAGTAGTCACAGGAAGAACTTTTTTTTTTAGGTAGCTTGTAATGTCATGTGTTCATATCATGTGCTTTACACTTGTAAAACTGAGAACAGAAATTGTCCAAGTAAACAGAGTTCTTTACTGCAACTACCACATGTTGTTAAGCTTTTGTCAGTGGTCAGTTTATGGTATGTCCACTCTTTATATGCTCCTACTGAATGTTTGAAAATACTCTTCAAGAACAGCTTTCACTTCTCTCTTCTCACAGCTTTCTACTAGTTTTTTGCTGCACTTCATTTTTCTTCCCTTCTAAGAATATGGTCTTTAATCTTCCACTTGCTGACTCAATAACTTACTGAGATTTTAAGCAAAATGGATTCATTCAGAGAACTCACAGAAACTTGAGAGTTATGAAATTATTCATACCCATTGAATTATACTATTGATCCATTAAAAACATTTGTTGCAAACTAGCTCCAGAGAGGAATGAGTTGAAGAAGTCAATAAAATGTTTCCTTTGACTTTTGCTCTGTTAGCATGTTGAAAGCCATTGAATCTTACAGCCATGTCACACATATGCTTTGTGTACTTCCTGAATTGTGTGACTGATGGAACAACTGAAACAGGGCTAAAGACCTTGGAAGTCAACACTGAGTAAGATTTACGTTTGCCCTGCCATTAATGTTGCTTAAGAATTATTCTTTTGATACCATTGTTTTCAATCACAAGAGAATTTGAAACATAGAGGAGAAACTGACTTGGACCAAAAAATAGCAAAAAATCAAAGCCCTGTGTATATTGGCTCAGTTCTTCAGAGCTCAGGAATGTACTGAATGAGTGGTGTCTTTTTCAGGCCTGAAATAAGAACCTTTAATAGATTTCCCTAGTTATGGGAAGTGATTTTTTTGATTGTTTGCAAACTCACACCAATTAAAAACCACAACATTATTCTCACTTTTATTTGGAAAACTAGAATGTAATGGAAAAACCTGCTTTGTCCCTTGATCAGATGGCTCTGGCAGGAGGATCTGGCAGTCAGGCAAATAGCATTCTTGAGTCCCTTCCCCTGGCTGAATATAATTTTCTTAGTACACATAAGCAGTCCAATCAAGTTGATGTCAATGCCAGATCAGGACACAGGTTTTGAGATTGAATGCAGAATTTTTTCCCACTTTTCATTATTTTTAAAGCATGAAAAGGTTGCAAAGGCAATATCCATGTTTACAAAAAGAGATTGTGGTCTTCAGAGCCAATGTACTTACATATTTACACAACTGATCACTGGTACGTAACCGTGCATACCTGTAGTTCTGCTGGGGAACTGTTAGAGGCATTGTGTATCAGGAAACAAAAAGTGGAACTGTCAAAGCACAAGATTTTTAGCCAATAATGATCAACAGCAATCGAGTTTATCCATGCAGAACAATTTAAAAAACAAACAAACAAAAAAGCCCCCAAAGAAACTGAACAAAGCCATCAAATCAAAACATAAAGAGTTTTCTTTGATAAATGGTGGCTTTGATTAACACATGTGAAAGGTTTAAGAAACAAAAATACAAAAGGTATAACAAAGCCCAAGTGTTTCTAGATGAAAGTCATCTTTCATCCAGGATAAGAGAAAGAGTGAAAGGCATCTAATAAAGTTTCCCTTTGAGAAAGTCATTCTTTAGCTCTCAAATCTGAGGCTTCTTGCATCTCCCTTTGAAGTACCTGGTATTTGCCTCAAGGCCAGTCTACTACTTCTGTGTTACCCTTAACATGTGATGAACTCAGTGTCTGCTTGATTGTGTGCTTGGAAAGATGTGGGAAAAACATGGACTTTACTCCTGTATCTTCCCAATTACAGCAAAAATATACTGTATTCTCTGACACCTTATGTGTCAAACTATGATTTAAATATAAATAAATACCAAGCATATTTTGCTGCAAAATTGCATTTATTCTTGCAAATGTCATGTCCAGTTTCCAGTGAACGAAGATGAAAATCATCATGTCGCACTTCAGATCCATTAACCTAGTGGATGTTTAGAAAACACCTGTATTTTGATCCCCTTTAAAGCTCCATACATCACTGCCAAGAATATTTTATGACTTCCAGAACTCTGTGCTCTCTAGCATCAGTAGTTTGCAGTTGTCCAGACAAACAGGATTAAAGGCATTCATCAAAAACTCAAGGATCATTTGGTGCATTAGGTTTTCTTGCCAAGAGAAGCAGAGAGACCTCACTAAAATTAATTTTAGCACATCACTAATGGAATATTCTCCTGGTAGGCTCAATATTTGTTTTTTTTTAATAACTACTTTCTGGAGCCAAGATAACTACCATACTTTTTATGCAGCACTGTACATTGAGGAGACTGTGCTTCCATATCTTTGGCAAAGTATGTTTCCCCATGTGTATTGATACAGCTTTTTATTCCATGCTGCTGCTTCCTTCATTCAGGGTGGTACATTTAAAAATGGGAATTTGAGAATAGCTATTTACTCCCTCTAAACCCTGCAGCATATAAATTAGACTGAAAGAGCCATGTGGCTGATTTCCACACTTTCCTTTTGCTATAATTTGGAAGAATCAGGAAAGAATGTTTCTATATGCCCACACTCCCCATTCTTCCTGTTTGGTAGCATTTTCTAGGCTTGACAGGGCAAAAGAGGGGTGCAGCAAGCAAAAACATTTTTGCCACAAGCTCACCTAAAAAAAGTTTTAGCAGCTTGGTTTTTTGCCTTGCTTCATTACTCTGTGTAGCTCAGCAGAGATCAGAAGCCACCATTAACTTGCAGGATTTAGGGGGCAACTACTACTTTTCCCATTTGGGCAATTTTTAATCAGGGCAGAGTGAGATGTAAAGAGTGATCAGAGAAGTAGCATCTTAATGTAAACATTGAAGCTGGGTGTAAGGTAATGGAAAAGCAAACCACATTACTGTGTAAATTCCTTGGATATTTATTTACTTTTCTTTAAGTTTTATATATGAAAATCATGGAATATGTATTCCAGCTCTAAACTCCTATACTTCTTGAAAAAGTTCCAGCCCACCCTTGGAAACATTCAAGGTGAGGTTGGGTAGGACTCTGAGAAACCTGATCCAGTTGAAGATGTCTCTGTTTATTGCAGGGGGTTGGACTAGATGAGCTTTAGAGGTCCCTTTCACCCAAACTATTCTATGGTTCTTCAATTTTCAGAATTGCAGAAAAAGCCTGGTGACATAGGAGGCAAGGTCATGACACCAATATACAGGCCTATCAAGTGCTCATAATGAAGCTGATGAGAAATTATATTTTCAAAAGGTGACTTTTTTGAGTAAAAACCATTTAGGATTTTGCTAAAAGCTGGTCTACATTGCCAGTTTGATTTTTCAGGATAATTGTTTCCCTTTTCTTCAGAAAATACATACCTGAGCTTGATGTCTCCTCTTGCCACACCTGGCTTTTCTCCAAATTATGTTGATAGCCCTTGAAACAGAAGAATTCTGGTGTTCTCCAGTACATAGCTCTGGAAGTCTGATGGGTTTGCCATGGTGTCAGGTCTGCCATGTCTCTGGCAAACTTATGTACCTGGTTACAAGGATTATACTCCTTGTTTGAGTTCTGTCTACTGTTATTGATAAATCTATTGGACTTTTCTTAAGTGTCTTCAGTTTGCAGCAGGGGGTTCCAAAAAGAATCAAAAAAAAAGGGAATAGCATGAGTGTCCTATAGGTACAGGAATGTTACAGAGTGGGAATGTCTAGAATTGTTGGGAATCTGCTGCAGGCCTGAACTAATATAAAGTATTCATATAAATAAGTATAAAGTATTAATTCATTTAGGCTGCAGGCCTAAATTAATATAAATATTAATATTTATAATTTTTGTGATATATTCTAGTGATTGATCCTTAGCAGGAGCATCTCAACAAACCAGAATGCAAACATGGCCTTGCGTAAAAAAATCTGCTCAGCTAACCACTGCTTTGGTGCAGTGCATTAAAGAACTGGTGAGCAAATGCAGCTGTGCAGAATGCAGTGTGAATATGATTATGGGCATGTAAGGAAAGACATAAAAAATAAAGGGTTTGCACCAAGAAGAAAAAGAAGCAACAATAAAGTGTCTTGGAGTTTAGCCTTTTAATAAAAGAGTGGATGAAATTTTATATTTCTGCTCTTAGCACTTGCTTGTTTGCTCTGCAGCCATCACAGAACTGCCACGTTCCTCAGTTTGTCCACCCGTAAAAATCTGCATATGTAATACTGTGTGCAGATTGTGGTGCCCTTTTATTGCTTAGTGTTGTATACCAAACCTCACTAGCCTGAAAAATAAGGCAGCAGTCTAATTATATCATAAATTCTGCCAAATTTTTGTTTTCGTTCTTTCCCTTTTCAGATATCTTTATACATGTGATTCCAAATTGCTAAAGGCATGGTAAACCTTTATTGGATTGTTTTGTTTTGGAGTGTATAGTTTGATTATACTGAATTCAACTCACAGCAAATTGAAAATATACAGAATAGAGGTCTGAATATATATTAGTCTCATGCAACTTCTTGAAGGTCTAGTGACTGAAAGGCAGCTGCCATAAAGCCACATAACTCACTGTAACCTGATCAGAGGTAACAATGAGTTACATGAAATTTTCTACCTACAATTGGATAGCTTTTATGTACTTCAGTTGCTTAAAAAAACTTTCTTTTCATGTACCTTTATTGAGGTTGATATGTGCTTATAAACTTTGATGTCATTTCCTGTGTTTTGGTATTCCTGCCTATGGAGTACTTATTACTTGACCCAATAGGGTCAATACTATCTCTCAAAAAGTGGGTTAGAGACAGCTACCATAAATCAGTTCTTGATCACAGATATATGAGTGTAATCAATCAGCAGTTCCAGCCAGCAGACTTTAATGAATCATATGCTTTGGTCTACTTTTGGTGGTTGTATAAGATATATTAATCAACAATCCATGCATGTTTAGAAAATACTAGACTCAGTCAGCCTTTGCTTTGAGATTTTAATTTTTTACATTGCTCTGATGATTATAACATCATTAGGTATAGAGGGTGGTTTGCTCATCATAGTCTGATGATTTGCTTATGATTTAATCAAGCACTAAATTAAGAGAGGAATGTGACTGCATCTGGCTTCCCTTACTATTTTTAAAGAGATGGGGGGCAGTCAGTATTCCAGGAGCATGACAGCTTTGCAATCATATTGCTTATATTTAAGTTTTTTGTAAAGATGTTCATTATGTGAAGTGTTTATGCTAAGGATGATTATGAAATCGCTGGTGAATAAGGGGCTGCCTTTTCCATTTATGAAGTCTTAATGGGACCCTGGACCACTCTTGCAATGTACAGCACAGCAGAATATCAAGGTAGTCACAAGGTGGTGTTCCGAAAAACTTCATATGCCATTTGAAGAGCTGGTAATGAAGGTGTCTGCTTAGAGGAGATTAATTTCACTGACTAGTGTCAGACAGAAACATCTTCTGGTCTGACTGATATAGAGAGAAACGTGCCTTAACCTGAAAGATCCTACAAGAATTTACAAAATCAGTATACAAGTTTTTAAAATTTTTTTCAAAGTATTGGGAAAGGATTTTTTTGTTTAAAATGTAGGAGCAATATGAAATTGTTCACACAAAGTCAATGTTAATCTCTGCATATAGAGCTAGCCAGGAGACATGTTGATAGCAAAAATGAAATTTATTTCATAATTTTTTTCTTGAAAGGGTTTGTAGAGTAGCACTGGCTTTTTGGCTGTTCATCAGTTGCCAGTGTAGCTTTCAAGTTCCTTATTTATTGTCCTATTTCACATTTAATCCATACACAGTTTCCATTACACATAGCAGCTAAAAGTCCAGACGTCATTGATCATTTTTGAATTACCTCATTCCAGAAATAATTTTCTGACTATTTATCACTACTTTGGCTTCAGCCATGAGGTGTGATCTAACTAAAATTATAATCTTGTTGAGATAAGCAAGACCAAAACATACTTTATTAATTCTCATGGACAAGCTGTGACATGTAAATAGCTACACTGCCCACACGGTCTGCAGAAGTGGACAGGCATAATTTTTAGTCACTTTGTCTCTTGGTCTAGCATTGTCTTAAAAAAAAGCTTAAAAGGGATTTGATCTACAATAGCAGACCACAAGCACGAGTGTCTGAGGCTCATATCTATTCTAGTTACTCTACACCAGCCTCATTATGTTGTAAGAGCATTTCAGGTAGCAAATCTAGTGTGATAAATGACTACGTGAAGATAGCATCTTCTTATTGAATAGACTTGCTCTCTGAGTATATTCAGAGATTCATGTCCTCCCTTTTGTTACTGAAACATCTCTTTTTGCTAGTTTTTATCTCTATTTCTCTTTCAGAGCTTGAAAAGAGCAATGAGAGCACTTTGAGAGAGTGATGATATGCTTTCTTTTATGTTATCAGTCTTTTTGACCTAGTAGACAATTGTTTACGACAGAAACTAAATAAAATTGCCTGGGAGTTGTTACAAGAACATGACTCAGGTGCTACATTGGTAAAGGAATAAAGGAAATTACTCACTCAGTGACTAATATTACCATTAGTAGCTAGATGTGCTGAAGCCTCAGACCTCAGGCTGTGAACCTTTTCCTAGATATGCTGAGCTTTTCATCTTGAGTAAAGGGAGACCCCAGAGCTGGTTCACGCTGGAAGATAAGGAAGCAAAGAACGTCACTACCCCCATCACCAGAAGCTGAAGCCTTAGAGATTTTAGGAGAACCAGCCCACCTAGAGACAGTGAAGAGAACCAATGCAGAACAAGAAGACCCTAATAATACCATTGGACCAAACTGTTGCATGATGGGCAGGAAACTTAGATTGTAACTGTGTCATTCCCATGGATTCCTTTGTTTGGGGTACCCAGCCTGAGCCGTTCCTGTTGTTGTACCAGTCAAATATTAAATTATTTCTTCCTGGAATCAGACATCCGAGACTCTGCTGCAGGAAACCTGAAGACATTTCTTTAACACATTTACATAGATGCCAGTAAGTATCCTAATTTATTCTGCAGGATTTTGTTGTTTGCAGCAATAAAAATAGAAAGTTTGGCTCAGATTCCAGATTGCATTTCAAGGGATGACAGCTAAATTGTAAGCAAAAACTATTTTGACTATTCTTTCACCTGAAGCCTAAGCTTGGTACTTCATACGATTTTCTGTGCAATTAGAATACAACAAAACTTAATGAGTGATAGGTCAAACAATTAATTGTTGTTAATGTTGTTTACTGTATGATACTACCAACACATATCGCCCTCTACAGAGTCCAAGAGAGACATCCTTACCTTTACACCCCATTCTTCTTGGGAATGGTAAAAGCAAAAGAAGAACACTTCAGAAGTCTTTTCAGAAAAATGACCCAGATACACAGGATCACAGAATGGGTCAGGTTGGAAGGGACCACAGTAGGTCATCTGGTCCAACCTTCCCTCTCAAGCAGGGTCATCCTAAAGCACATTGCACAGAATTGCATCCAGACAGTTCTTGAATATCTCCCATGAGGGAGACTCCACAACCTCTCTGGGCAACCTGTTTCAGAACACAGTTATCCACACAATTAAGAAGTTCTTCCTCATATTCAAGTGGAACTTTCTGTACAGACAGATGACTCTTGGACATGTCTAGTAGTGGAATTTACCCTTTCCATTCCTACCTATTCTAGATTCTGATAAACATAAGGAAGTGCAAAGGTGGGGTTTTTTTGTTTGGTTGGTTGGTTTTTTGGCTGGTTCTGTTGTGGTTTTTTTTCAAATTTCATGATTCACATCTGAAAACTTACTCACATACAGTCAATTTTCTATACCTTGTAATGAAAACAGTGCTCCATCTGTGAGAATGCACAGGGAGAGTGCTGAGAGGGAGTAGCTATCTGTTTACTGTCACTGTTGGCAATGTAGATTATAGTTGCTTCTCAAAGGATCAACAATGAGATATTGGCCATTCTTAGGTGTGTGATATTCAGCTTGGTGCTGCCCTCATCACTCAAAAATTATCACAGAATGACACAGTGCACCGAGTTGGAAGGGACCCAAAAGGATCATTAAGTCCAACTCTTAAACCTGCACAGGATATACTTGTGCATCTCAAGTATCTCACACTTACTGGATGAGTTCCTATGTGAAGATGGCAACAGATTGACTCCAGAAAGACTGAGCTTTTTCATGACATCTTTGATGCCTTCTAGTCAGTATTGAAACTTGAATGTGTTGAGAGAAAGCACTTGTAGTGGGTCAGTGAATTGTATGCATGGGACTGCAGATCTGGGCCAAGAATCCAGCTGACAGTGTTAGATTTGGTATAGAATAACACAAATCAGATGTGAAAAGCATTGTTCTTAACAGTATACTTCTTACAAATATTTTCAGTAGTGTTGACCACTATTTACTGACTTGCAAGAATTTTAGGTATTAGATTAAATTGCCATTCTTTGCTCATCTCTGCCAAACCCCAAAGAGTGATGATTGCAGCTATGCTCATTTCTTTCCCCTTAAATTATTCCCATGATGTGCAGAGTTCAGTTTTATCATGTTACTAATTAAAAGTATTCAGTTTCTCAGCAACACCACAGTTGCCTATACCATTTTGTAAATGCATTCTTGTCCTGGTTTCAGGTGGGAAAGAGTTAATTTTTCTCTTAGTAGCTTGCATAGTGCTGTGTTTTGTATTTATATGACAATAACATTGATAACACACTGAGATTTTAGTTGTTGCTATGTAGCATTTACTCTAACTCAAGAACTTTTCAGTTTCCCATGCTCTGCCAGAGAGGAGATGCACAAGAAACTGGGAAGGAGCATGACTAGGACAGCTGACCAGAACTGACCAAAGGGATATTCCATACCATGGAACATCATGCTCAGCATAAAAACAGTGGGGAGCTGGCTAGGAGCTAGCTGGCTTGATCGCTACTCAGGGACAGGCTGAGCATCAATCAGCAGGTGGTGAGCAACTGTATTGTGCATTACTTGTAGTATTATTATATTTTATTTTGTTTCAGTTATAAAACTTTTCTTATCTCAACCCACAGGGCTTACTTTTTTTCCTGATTCTTCTCCTCACTGGGGAGTGAGTGAGCAGCTGAGTGGTAACTGTTTGCTGGCTGGGGTTAAGCCACAATAGCTCTGTATGATAAACACATCCTGCTTTCATATCCTTCCTGGTGAATATAACCTTAATGTTTCGCAGCTCAGTTCCTATGAAATTAAAACAGTTGCTGAGGTAGTCAATTAAAAGGGAGCTTAAAATAGGGAAAAAAAAGGCATTTTTAGTACAGAATGTTTTCAGGTTTTTTCCTTTTCTTTTCTTTTTTATTTCCTTTTCTTTGACTGGCTTTGTTTTTCTGAAAAGGCAGTATACCTTCAGAGAGGAATGTAATCAAACCAAGGAACAGTGTTTAGGTCAACCTAAGCCTATTTCTGCAGGGATTAAAATAATCAGCCCTTTTATTTCTCCCTAGCTCATCTTAAGATAATATTAAAATCATCACATTCCATTTTGATTATCGTATCGGAATCACATTTGTTATTCTTATCCTGCTTTTGTAGCATTTCCATTCAACAATATTTAGTGTTCCTATATATTACTGGCAGAGTTTACTAATTAGTTGTGATTTGTATTAGCACTATTCTCTATAATTTGGATCCTTCACTGGAAAATTCACTGAGTTCATAAATTACATATATTTTTTAAAGCCTATAACTTAAGAGCTAAAAGGCATTTTTATTTAAATGTAATATATTCTTAATGATCCCTTTATATATATGCCCTCATATTACATAGCCCAAAAACTTCAGTAGTGATAGACCGCACCATTCTACATAGGGCATTGAAAAAAAATAATGGATTGGATTCTTGTCTTCTGGTATAAATCACCATATTTGCAATGACATCAGAAGTGCTGTTTCAGTTTACATCACTGAAGCTGTGAAGGGTGTTTTAAGGTATCTTTAAAGGTAAATTAAGAAATATTTTATATGACAGCTTTTTAATACAGTTTTTTTTTCACCCACCTTTAGCCATATAATTTAATTTTCTTATGTACTATGTCACAACATTCTTTCTGGGAATTAGTTCGTGGATCTGTTTCATTAGAAAGATAAATCTTTCATTAGATAGATGGAAAGAAAGATCGGGATAGATACATCACTGCCTACCACATATTTCTGTACATATAGTTTTATTTTTCATTGTTATTTTAGATTCAAATAATGCTTCATTTATCACTTAATCTTGCAATAACTTTTCATTTAGAAATGCACAAATAAACAGGGTTTCTTTCTTTTTATTGTCTCAGTTTTCATTTATTTGTTCTTATTTAAAATGCATACTCAATTGCTAGCACAGAGCAGTTTTGGAGCTAGCTGAGGCATTGAAAAAGGCTTGCTAGTATTATGGGTTGATAAATCTAGAATTGCATAAAATTTGAAAATATTAATAACAATATTCTCAAAATGCTGATACCTGGCATTCTGACTTTCAGTACAGTCAGTAGACTGTATCTATATTTGGTTAAGTCTGTATTCCATGACACTAGCTATTTAAGGATTGAAAACTCAGCAAACAAGACACACATGACAGAAAAAGATGATGTTAGTGCCTTAATTAAGGTTTGCAACTCACAATAACAAGCAGGGAGGTAAGAACAGGTAATTTGCAGTGATTTGTTGGAGCTTTAAAAATGCCATGTAAAACATATTTTTGACCATATGCAGCTATCTGGAATTATTAATGAAGGAAAAGGAGGCTCTTAGTTTTTCTTATCTTCAACAGATTTCCATGCTATAGTTCCCCTCATGACTATACTGTAGTGAAACTCTTTTGACTGTAATGAATATAATCTTGATATCCATGAGAAGAAAATTAGGCTTGTAATTAGGAGGCAAGACTTGCCCTCTGAAGCAAAAGATTTTAATGTTGACCTGACAAGCTCATTGGAGTAACTCAACATTTTCGATATTGCACACTGAATATCCTCTTAAATAAAGAGGAATCATTTAGTATTAAATTGCTTTTCTAGTAGTGTCTTTAAAATAATGAGGTGATCTCTCTCAAGTCAGAGACAGACATATGCAGAAATTGTTATGATAAAATCCCTTAAAATCCTGAAAATCCCTTACCATCCTTCTTGCACAGCTAACAAAGCAGAACATCTGTGTGTTTCTCCTCATTTTCATTCAAAGGTAGGAAAATCTAGAGCTGTGTGCAAGGCTTCCTCAACAAGGGCAGGCAAAATTGTTTTCCCTGTATTTAAGCATTCAATAGAAGTTCCCAACTAGCCATAGTGTTTTTTAGGTCTATGTTGCATTTGCTTTAAAGATGTTTATTTCTGGTAACCTCACTGAAATTTTCTGAAACTCTCTTTACTTTTTAAATTACAATATTTTTGGCTATAGATTGCTTTTAAACAGGCAACTGTAATGTTGAGGAAGAACAGGTTGTTTACTTTTCACATTAGCTTTTGTATGGGTTTTTTTCATTGGTAGGGAGAAAGAGCTTAGGGAAATTAACATTGTTTTTTGAAAAGAACCCCTGAGTTTAAAATGTGCACTAACAGCTTGATTGTAATTGCTGATTTTGAAATAGGGACCCCCTCCTTAACTTTTCAGATTTAAATCAAAGATATGGTTGCCAATTTGATAAATTTCAGA